TAGCCAGGTTCTGTCCAGGTCCCTTGAAACATATGCTGTGCAGATGTTTCTTTCCTACAGCGACTGTGTCAAGCAGCAAGGATGGACTGGCTTCCGGCAGTTTCTGGAGACAGGAAGTGACATTTCCCCGAGTCTCCTGTAGGGAATCTGTGAGGCATGACGTTCCCCTTCCTCTTAGGGCCCTGGCATCGACCAAAAGGGCACCCCGTGCACCTGGCTGCACAGGCAAAGCTGCGGGTGCCACTTGGGTCAGAGCCTGGGACCAGTGCGCGGTCATCATGTCCAAGGTGAACATACAGGACACCGGCATCTGTTACAGGGAATGATGTGATTACTGTTTTTTGTTTTTTTTTAATATATTTTATTGATTTTCTACAGAGAGGAAGGGAGAGAGATAGAGAGCTAGAAACATCGATGAGAGAGAAACATTGATCCGCTGCCTCCTGCACATCTCCCACTGGGGATGCGCCCGCAACCCAGGCACATGCCCTTGACTGGAATCGAACCTGGGACCCCTCAGTCCGCAGGCCGACGCTCCATCCACTGAGCCAAACCGGTTTCGGCGATTACTGTTTTTTTTAAAGGACATCGTCGCCTCCCACCAGCCGAGCCTGCAGCCCCTTGTCTTCCCTTAACTCCAGATTGTCGCCATCGCCAGCCTTTAAGGGGCCACACGTTCTGCAGCCAGGAGACTCCATGGCAGCCCCCTCACCAGCCTGGAGCTGAGCAGGAGGGAGGCAGGCCACCCAGGCGCCCCACCCCCCCTCCGTGGGTCTCCCTCCTCCTGCCCAGCTCCTCCCTGTGCAAGGCCGCCATGTGGAGGGCTGCTGTGGCCCAGGAGAAGCCCAATTCTTGGAGAAGGTACAGGAGCCGGGACCCAGAGCCTCAGGGTCTTGGGGTTCAGCATCCGCGCCCTAGGCCCTGGCGGAAATGGGAGGCCCGCTGGTGCCCACCGACTCTCCTGCCCTCATTCAATATGTGTATTCTTTGGACATGTCTGAGGATCTTCTAGAACAGCGGTTCTCAACCTGTGGGTCGCGATCCCTTTGGGGGTCGAACGAGACTTTCACAGGGGTCACCTAAATACATCCTGCATATCAGATATTTACATTAAGATTCATAACAGTAGCAAAATTACAGTGATGAAGTAGCAACGAAAATAATTTTTTGGTTGGGGGTCACCCCAACCAGGAACTGTATTAAAGGGTTGCGGCATTAGGAAGGTTGAGAACCACTGCTCTAGAACAAATGCCTAAAGGAGAAATTAGGAATGTGTCAGATGCAAGCACATTAACATTCATGAGACGTGTTGCAAAGGCCCACGTCTTCAATTTCCGGCTGAGTCTCTCCTCATGTTCTTACATCTTTGAGGAACTGATAGATTCAATTAATTCCTCAATTTATTTTTGAACGGATAGATTTTAATTTTTATTCCTATTTTCTTATTCCACGTTCTCATATTGTTTCCATGTGTTTATTACAAATATAGTTGTTTCACATTCGCATTTCTTCTTTTCCACATTGTTCCCTCATGTGCGTTATTTGTGGATTGGGTGGTGGATGCTGTTAGATATTGGACTTCAGAGAGAAGGAGAAGCAGCCCCCACAGGAACTGGTCTGACACACGAGGCCTCAGTGCTGTCGGGAGCTGGCCCGGAGCTCACAGCTGGGCCGGGTTCCTCTCCTGTTGGACACAAGTCACCTCTCAGAGCGTCACCCTCAGACACAGACACCCTGAGGCCATGACAAGGGAGACAGAGGAACACCCACTCCCTGCGTCTAAACACAGACACACACAGGCCCCCGCGCAGCTCACAGAGGACCACACAGCTCCCTGCGCTGGCTCCTGGCAGCGAGGCTGCTTCTCCCCAGCGGCCCCTCCACCCTCGCTGCAGGCGGCCTTGTCCCTAGATGGTCACCGCTGCAGGCGCCTTGTCCCTCGATGGTCACTGAGCTGCCCACCCATAGAGCTGCTCCTCCTGACACCACCATCTAGAGCAGCCTACTACCCAGACCCTCTCCCAGGCCGCCAATCCAGAGCCCACACCCTAGATGTGTCCTGTCTCCCCCCTTCCCACTAGGATGCCCCATGGTCCCCGTGGGATGCGTTCTCCCTCCAGCAATGATGACGAACCCACCTCGCCTTCCCACAGGGAGCCTCCTGGGCTTTGGCTGAGGAACACTGGGCCACGGGACCCTTTCTCTGTCAACATTTTTGTGCGTCTCTGACTTTCATTCTGGCCCTGAGTTTGTATCTCTGGGTGTGAGGTTGACATAGAAAAGTTTCATGTTTTCCTTCATGGTTTTTCACCTTTGGGACTTGGATGGAGAAATTTTCATTCCACAACTGTAATGAATGCTCTGGGGGAGAGCATTCCAAGGGCGAAGGGAAAAAGAATTGTTAGAATGTTGGGGGAAATTAAGGGATTCTAGGGTGCAATCTACAGGTGGCATCCTCTGCGTTATGTTCTCTCAGTATGTGCGGGGCCTACAGGGAGCTGCTGGCTGTTGGGTTCAATATCCATTTTCTCTTGCGGTAAAGCCCTGTGTGCCTGCTCATGTTCACCAGGTGAACAAACACAACACCAAGGGTCCCAGGTGATAGACACAGGATGGCTCCAGTGAGGAGTGTTTGTGAACCCTTCACCCTTAGGGGGTAACTCACATTTGAGTTCATGCCTGTGCAGCTTGGTGTTAAATGCGTATTAATTACACTCTCCTGGCAGCTGTGAGTGAGGGTGTATCTGAGACCCACACACACAACTGAAGTCAGTGACACATGAAAACCCATGGCTTCCACGTGAAGACAACTGTCACCTCCATCCATCAATGAGCCACACGGTGCCCAGTGCGGGCAGAGACTGGAAACTAAGAGCATTTAGCCGGGCGCTGTCTCATGTGGCAGCTCCACGACCCCCATGGCGGCGGAATTAAAGGTCCATGAAGTGAAAAGTCCCCCTGCTCGGCATAGAACCCACGTGTCAAGGGCTCAGTGGCCACAGCAGCTGGTGGCTGCCACGTGCGAGGAACCGACGCAGAGCGAGTCCTCACTCACAGAATGTCCTGGTGGACAGACTGCTCTGCACGTTGTCCGGGCTTCAGGTCAGAGCATTCGGCTCATTTGCATAAAAGGACCCGGCCTGGCCGGTGTGGGTCAGTGGGGTGAGTGCTGTCCTGGGCACTGGAAGGTGTCAGGTGTGACCCCTGGTCAGGGCGAGTAGGGGAGGCAACCAATCAGTGGTTCTCTCTCACATCCACATATCTCTCTTTCTCCCTCTCCCTTCCTTTCTCTCTATAATTAATAAAAACATTTTTAAACATTGAAAGGAATAAAATAAAAGGGCCAAGATGGCTTCTCCTACAGACACGTCAGGTTTCTGTGTGGGATGTGAGCGCACACTCAGCTAGGGAGTAGAAACCACAGTGGGTGTCTGTGGGCCTGGTGTCTTTAGGCACAAACTGCTCCCTGTCCCAGAGGGGACACCCCTGTCTCTCCACCTCCCTCCCAGGCTGAGGACACTCCCTGGCATACAATATCCAGGGTGACCTCTCTTCTAGAAGGTCCCAGTGGCAGTGCTGTAAGCTCAGTTTCGGGCGCAGGATTCGCCTGACTGAGAGGGATTCTGGGAAGACAAGAGGAAGGAGAGGCAGTGACCAGTTGGGAAACTGCCTCCTGTTTATCCAGAACAACCTTTCTCAAAGTGTGGTCTGTGGAACCCTGAAGTATCCGAGAGCCTTTCCCGGGATGTGGGGGGTCAGCACTGTTGGGGGAGATGAAGGACATCCTCGCCTTTTCACTCCGCTGACATGGACGCTGAGGCCAAGCTCAGCACGAATGGGCTGACACCTGACCTCCATAGTCCTTCCTCCTCCCCAGCACTGACCTGCAGAGAGCAGACAGACAGACAGAACAAAACCAGTTTTGCTTTAAACGACACAGTTGAAGGAGGTGAAATTATTCTCTTCACTGAAGCCTCATCCTTCCATCCACATGTTTAAAACATCGTGGCCACCGGTGGAGATGTCCCAAAGGTGAACGCGGTGGTGCCTGCATTGCCCACAACTACAGAACAATGACCACCACCCTCCCCACAACCAGCATTCAGAGCCGCCTGGAACCCGCCCAACAGGATCCTACAGCAGCCACAGACTCAGCCACAGAGAGCAGACTGCTGGCTGCAGCAGGGCAGGGGAGGGACTGGGCACAGCAGGTAAAGGAGGGGAACTACAACATGGTGCTTACAGTGTGGTCATGGGGAGGGAAAGGACAGCACAGGGAACACAGTCAATCACATTGTAATAACTACATGTGAGGTCACATGGGTATTAGATTTATGGGACGATACCTTGGTAAGTTATATAAATGTCTAATCACAGAATTGTATACCTAAATAAATACAATATTGTACATTAACTGCAATGGAAAAATAAAAAATATTGTTAAAAAGAAGATATATACATATATCTTGCCTTCATTACACAAACGAATTAATTTCTTAACAGTATTTAATAAAAATGGACGATTAAATACCCCTCATAGGATGACCTCGGAAGTACACAAAAAACACTTCTGTCACATTCCCAAGTATCATGTACCAGGGAGATCATGTGTGGGAGCTGAGCTAGCCTCTTTCTCATGGGATACCATGTTTGCTTTTTTATTTTTTTAAATATATTTTATTGATTTTTTTACAGAGAGGAAGGGAGAGGAATAGAGAATTAGGAACATCAATGAGAGAGAAAAACATCGATCAGCTGCCTCCTGCACACCCCCTACTGCGGATGTGCCCACAACCAAGGTACATGCCCTTGACCAGAATCGAACCTGGGACCCTTCAGTCCTCAGGCCAATGCTCTATCCACTGAACCAAACCGGTTAGGGCCCATGTTTACTTTTTTTTAAAAAAAATGAACCCTAGCTGGTTTGTCTCCACGGTTGGAGCATAGGACTGCGGACTGTAGGGTCCCAGGTTTGATTCAGGTCAAGGGCACATGCCCAGGATGTGGTCTCAATTCTCAGTAGGGGACGTGCAGGAGGCAACAGATCTATGATTCTCTCTCATCCTGGTTGTTTCTATCTCTCTCTCCCTCTCCCTTCCTCTCTGAAATCAATAAAAATATTTTTTTAAAAATTTGATTTCAGAGAGGAACTGAGAGGGAGGCAGAGATGGAAACATCCATGATGGGAGAGAACCACAGATAGGCCGCCTCCTGAATGCCCCCCACTGGGGATCAGCCAGCAACCCTGCAGGTGCCCTCACCAGGAATGGAACCGTGACCTCCTGGCTCATAGGTCAATGCTCACCCACTGAGCCACACCCGGCCTGGCCCATGTTTATGTAACAGAATAAATGACACAGGCACTAGGATTGCTGAGATTTGGTGAACTGGCTCACAGTTTCTCAAAAATGAACATGAGTGCCCAAGCTGGTTTGGCCCGGTGGGTAGAGCATCAGCTTTCGGACTGAAGGGTCCCAGGTATGATTTCAGTCAAGGGCACATGTCCGAGTTGTGGGCCTAATCTCCAATGTGGGCCCAATGCCCAATAGGGTGAGCAGGAGAAGGCCAATCAAAGATTCTCCCTCATCATTCATGTATCTGTCTCTCCCTCCTCTCCTTCCTCTCTGAAATCAATAAAAAAATATATTTTTAAAAATGAACATGAGCTTCTCCCTTCAAGAAATATCACCTGGCAGGTGCCAAATGACAGTTCTGTTGTCCTGATAAAATGTCAGAAAACCAGAATTTGGAACAAGTGTGTCCCACCATGTGAGCTAGACCGCTTCCCAGTGCTGACAGGCTGTTCTAGGGGGCTCTGTGGGAACAGCAACACCTGTGAGCTTTGATGATGTGATTCAATGCATCAGCACGGGCATCAGCACGAGGTCTCTAGGACTTAGAGACACAAGGCATCACTTTACATCACCTGCATGAGGACAAGAGCCACCCAGCAAGACAGCCCTCCTGACTGTGACACAACAGAACAGAAAATATTCAATATTCCCCAGCCAGCGGGCCAGGTGGTTGAACATTGATCTATGACCCAGGAGGTCAGAGCTCAAGTTTTTGGCAGAGCACATGCATGGGTTGTGGGCTCCATCCCCAGTGTGGGGCGTGTAGGAGGCAACCGATCAATGATTATTTCTTACTAGGGGCCCGGTGCACAAAATTCGTGCACTGGGTGGGGGGGGGGAGTGTCCCTCAGCCCAGCCTGCCCCCTCTCACATACTGGGAGCCCTCAGGCGTTGACCCCCATCACCCTCCAATCGCAGGAT